ACATAGCACACCAAGGCTACTATACCTGGTCACCACGGCGGGACTTCAACTGCCCGCAGGTTCCACAGGCGCATTTCACAGTTGGATTCCAACGGGATTTACGGGCATCAGGTCTTGAACCGGCACCCTCTGCCACAGGAACGAAGTCTCGTAACCACTACAACCCTTGGAGGTGTTATAAAAACTGGATCCATACCGGATATAGGTTGGGAGAAATGATGAGCATTTTGGACAAAAGGATTTAACACAGTTTGGACGCTTGATAGAGTTAGGCAGATCGATTTAACAAATTAGTATTGCCAAAACCACATTTAGTCCAACAATCAACCGATTTGATATTCTGCACAGACCATCGGGACCAACAAACTAGTGAAGCGATTTTGCATGTTAGTCACATGCGTCTGAATCACGGGCCTGCTGCTCCCATAAACTGTCGACCTAGGTGGATGTGCGCAGCACACACGTGAGTGACGCACAATTTTCTGAGGGGCCCACCAATTTATGCGCTCGTCAGTCCAAATCGTTCCGTCCTTTGACGTAGGGAATAGTGGGTCCGTCCAAGTTTTCTAGAATACCTGCCCATATCGATTCACAAGGTGTCCGATTCTAATCTACGGTTGCAAGAAGCTTCTACAAAAATCTAAAACGTTGGACTACACGCCCGATTCCAATCTACCGGTCCAAGAAGCTTCTATGAAATTCTAAATCGGTTCGCTGTTTCTCTAACCTAGGCGCGCTCACCTAAATTGATAAAAAAAAAGAAACCAATACAGTTTTGTTTTCGGCGGGAGCCCGGTAGGGCCTCTGCCCATTTCAGCAGATGTCCAAATAGCGGCAGTATGCGTCGAACTTTCTTTTTTTTTTTTTTTTTCAATTACAACACCCCCGCCAGTGTTAGTGGTGCTGATAAGGCAGACACCACTAATACCAGGCGAGAGGCTCCATCTATTGGTGGGGAGCTTCACCTGCTGGGAAACGGGCCCAGCGTCCCATATATAGATTGAATTTGCAGGATGTAAAAAAATGGGCCATTGTGGGAGAATCCTGCCAGCATTGATGCCCTGGCAACCAGGGGATTGACTGAGCAGCGGGTAGGAGAAGGAGGGAACCTCTACACCTTGGAATCGGCGCCAGATACCTACTATAGCTCACTAGTTCCTCCCTCCCCTCTCCCAGTCTGAACTGTCATTTCCCAAGTCGTCATCTTACACTCAGCCAAAATGCTGGAAACCGGGTCCAGCGTCCCATTTGTCCTCTTGTAGCACTTAGATTAGTGGCTGGGAATTTCCTGGGGCTGTGCACCTTGGTCTTCCCGGGGCTCCATTGTCCCGTGGAACTGCTAATGTCACCCATCCCTTGTTGGAGTTCCCCTTGTCCCTATGCCCAGCCCTGTTTCAGCAGTCCCCCTGAGTAGTCACAGTATTCAATAGTCCACACCTTCTCCCTACTGGCACCTGCAATCCACTTGCATTCCAGCACCGACCCAGGGAATTGATTGAGCAGGATAGGTGCCTGCAGTTACCCTCTGGCTCCCCCCGCTCCTGCTTTTGCACAGGTGTGCTCACACCGCCCCATACCAATGCATGCCTACCATGGCCAGCGGATGGGGGGGAAAGGGTTCCGTCGAACTTAACTGGTCAAAGGAGTAATTCTGATGTTTGTAATCTGAGGGGACGCTGGACCCGCTTTCCCGCAGGTGATACTCCCCACCAATGGAACGTTCAACGTAGCCATCAGTTACACAGCCAGAGATGTATGCTCTTATCATCATCTCTAGCTGTTATAGCTGGTGTTTTTTCAAAAAAAAACAAAAAAAAAAGAAGTAGTCTGAGGTTTACCTATAGGCTATAGCAGAAGAACCACATTGCATAAGCACGATGAAATGCTACAGACCTTCTCCTCACTACTGCTGCATCTGAATGGGAGTGTCCACTCCTTTCCTTAGGAAGTATCCTAGAGGCTCCACCCAATGCCAACCGCTCGCCATCCATCCACCAATCGATTCAGCAAGCCATCCATTCACGCATCCATCCACCCAACCATGGACCTATCCAGCCGCCCACTGCTTGCCCACCCACCCTCCCACCCACCCACCCACCCACTCAACCAAGCAACCAGCCAAGCCATCAATCTGATATCAGCTCAACTCACGTCATCTTTTAAGAGCCTCTCTCCAGCAGTAATAGGCCAGAATGAGCCACCTAGCAAGTGCATGCACATGTGCGAACTAACACCTGATGCCCATCCTTATAATATCGAAGGATGGCCGAGCGAACTAGGGAAGAAAAGCATGACCGTGCCATGCCATGCAACTGAGCAGGCTGTATACTGGATGAATTAGATCTGCAGCAGTTGTTTGGTCTGCAGTGCGGGCATAACCATTGTCAGTCATTTGAAACTTTCCGGAGTCGTTATTTCTACCGCTTCTTGACCCCGCCTCTTGTCAGTCGACGGGAAAGTCCGCTCACTTTACTACTCTTCTTCCTGTCTACGCTGGGGAGAGGCAATTTTACTTTTCTGAGGCCTGGAGAGTTCCTGACTGACTGTGAACAACACTTTGTCTCTGGGCCATAGTTTATTTCTTTCAGAGTTACCCTCTGGACTCTGGAGTTTATTTCTTTTAGAGTTAACTCTCTGGCTGAGATCTGACCCAAAGTCAACCTGGGAGTTTGACTTTCGGGCCGAGAGAGTGAACAGCAGACCCCAAGTAAGTCAGGAAGCACCCCCCCCCCACCCACCCACCCACTGGCAAGACCCTGAATGTGCCCATGGATGCATTTTCTGCCTCAACTCATCCTTCAGCTGCTCGTTAGATGTTGAGACTCCAGACAACCTGCCCCCCTCCCCACCACTTACTGATATCTCTGCCCCTTACGTTTTCTAAGTGTTCGTTGCACCTGTGGTCGTTTGTGCCCAGCTGGATAGGACAGGTCAATGATTAGAGGAGTAGCATGATGCTTTGCAAACGGAATTAGATCTTTGATTTTGTTTTTGTTCTTTTTTTTTTTTAACACCTGGAATTAGATCTTTGATATCGATGTTATCATTCACACAAGATGGGCGCTTCACCGGCTGCTCTCTTCTTGGCTAGGATTTGGGAATTGGGACATCGTGTAGAAACAGAAAACGTGTGCGTTAGGTTGTGGGGACTTCTGGTACTATGCAGCAGGTTCACAGTCTCAGGAATCCCACGGTGATACCATCTGTCAAACTGCCAGGTGGGTGCCCTGCTTCTGATGTAGGTTTTTTAAAACAACAAAACAACAACCTGATGTAGGTTTGGAAGTTATGGCAGCCGGGACGATGTTGTGGGCTATCCTGGGGAGGTTGTACGGAATGTCAGGTAGGTACCCTGAATGTGTTGCAGGTTAGGTTGGTAACTGAATGTGTAGGAAATTGGTGGATGTTGTTGTGTTTAAGCCTTTTAAGGTAAATAAACAACCAAGTTTCTAATAATGGGAACTACCCAATAATAACCAAAAGAAGAAGAAGAAAAAGAGGAAGAAAGAAACTACACACTGCCAGTTCACGGCCCCAGCTTTGCTAGTAAAAGAAACTCGTCGCCTGGTCCGAAACATTTGGGGCCGGAATGCCGTGCATAAAAAACGTCAGCGGCCGGCGTCAGATTTCGGCCCTCTGAAAGGGGCCCGCGGACGATGTATGGTGTGTGCTACTGGTAGATTAATGCTAGCTGGAATGATGTGGGACTGTCCAGGCTTCACAGCAGGCCCCGTGCCCTCCTGTAAGGCCTCTATCCTGGTGGTGGTAAGAGAACCACCGGGATTGAGGCTTTGCCTGGCGGGCCGCTCCGTCTATTGGTGGGGAGCATCACCTGCTGGGAACCGGGCCCAGCGTCCCAGGAATACATCTGATCAAAACTGTACATCATTGAGGGTGAGGTTACTTGATCCCATGAAGGATTCTTCGTGCTAACTTTTTTTGCCGAGTTATCAAAAGTGGCAGCCCTGAGATAGCCTGGTCATGATTGTGTTGGTGGATGCTTGGCATTACAGGTTTAGACAAGTTGAGGAAGGATTGGATTGAGCGGCGGGAGAGAAGGAAGGATGAGAGGTACACACAGATGTACTATGCCAAGCGGGGAATTGTGACAGAGGAGATGCTGTTCTGTGCGACTCGCGAGGGATTGGACCCTGAGTTTGTGCGGTCAGAGGTTGCGAGGGGCCGTGCAATCATTCCTTGCAACAAGAAGCATCTGGAGCTTGAACCCATGATCATCGGAAGGAAGTTCCTTGTGAAGGTGAACGCCAACATCGGAAACTCTGCGGTGTCGAGCTCCATTGAAGAAGAGGTCCAAAAGCTTCAGTGGGCAGTCATGTGGGGTGCAGACACTGCCATGGACCTCTCTACGGGGGATGACATCCACGAAACGCGTGAATGGATCCTTCGCAACTCCCCGGTCCCGGTCGGTACCGTTCCCATCTATCAAGCTCTGGAGAAGGTGAACGGTATTGCCGAGGATCTGACATGGTCGGTCTTCCGGGACACGCTGATCGAACAAGCTGAGCAAGGAGTGGATTACTTCACGATCCATGCCGGCGTCCTCTTGCGCTTCATTCCACTCACGGCAAATCGGAAAACAGGGATTGTCTCTCGCGGCGGCTCTATCCATGCGAAGTGGTGCTTGGCGCATCATAAAGAGAACTTCGCATATGAGCACTGGGATGAAATCCTAGACATCTGCAACCAGTACGACATATCCCTTTCCATCGGCGATGGTCTCCGCCCAGGATCCATCTACGATGCCAACGACGCAGCACAGTTTTCAGAACTTGCTGTGCAGGGCGAGCTGACTCGGCGAGCCTGGGAGAAGGATGTGCAGGTGATGAATGAGGGCCCGGGACACATTCCGATGCACAAAATTCCTGAGAACATGGAGAAACAGCTAGACTGGTGCAATGAGGCTCCTTTCTACACCCTTGGGCCCTTGACGACAGACGTTGCGCCGGGTTACGATCACATCACATCGGCGATCGGTGCCGCGAACATCGGAGCACTCGGCACGGCCTTACTCTGCTATGTCACACCTAAGGAGCACCTGGGCCTTCCGAATCGGGACGATGTCAAGACCGGAGTCATTTCTTACAAGATAGCAGCACATGCCGCGGATTTGGCGAAAGAGCACCCCTACGCCCAGGCGTGGGATGATGCTCTTAGTCAAGCGAGGTTCGAGTTCAGGTGGAGGGACCAATTCGCGCTGGCAATGGACCCGATGACCGCTCAGGCTTTCCACGACGAGACACTTCCAGCCGAAGGCGCCAAGGTTGCCCATTTCTGCTCCATGTGCGGACCGAAGTTCTGCTCCATGAGAATCACCGAGGACGTGCGCAAGTATGCTGCAAAGTACGGGTATGGGGATCAAGAAGCAATTCAGAAGGGGATGGAAGAAATGAGTGAAGAATTCCAGTCCGCGAAGAAGACAGTCAGCGGTGAGCAGTGGGGAGAGTCAGGAGGGGAGATATACCTCCCAGAATCTTATGTACAGAAGAAGGTCCAGTCTTCTGTGTAAGGCCAATTACTCTTACAAGCTTGAAAGATCTGTGGAGAGAGAGAGAGAGAGAGAGAGAGAGAGAGAGAGAGAGAGAGAGAGAGAGAGAGAGAGAGAGAGAGAGAGAGAGAGAGAGAGAGAGNAGAGAGAGAGAGAGAGAGAGAGAGAGAGAGAGAGAGAGAGAGAGAGAGAGAGAGAGAGAGTTTCTCAAGCTTGAAAGATCTGTGGAGACTAAGTAGTAAGTACGGCACATGCTTTTTCACACCATTACCACACTGCAGCTACCAGTGTGTGCCACCTGTCTCAACAAGGGAAGGGGAACGAATACAGAGATTGGAGATCGGCACGTTGACGAGGTGACGAGAAAGCAAGGCTCGCTGGCTCGTGGGTACGGTTGCAGGCTAGCAATTGCCTTTTTTCCCTTGACCCCTTCACTCTTCCACCATTTTCCTGACTACTTCAGTGATGATGATCAGGCAAACCACATACAATTTGACGACCTTAACCTATACCTGCACAGCCGCTTGTAATTTTTTCTTTTATGTTTTTAATTCTCTGTACATCTGTCCTCTGTTCTGCTCTTCTCCCAATAGTCGTGGCTTCTTGTAGTTCTACGTACATAGGTTCTCCAAGCTCTCCAAGTCTCCGGGCTCTCCGAGTCTCCGGGCTCTCCAAGTCTCCGGGCTCCTCTTCATAGGTTCTCCAAGCTCTCCAAGTCTCCGGGCTCTCCGAGTCTCCGGGCTCTCCAAGTCTCCGGGCTCCTCTTCATGACAGTGGTGACGAGTGCGATCAATGAGGTAACTGCATACCCACCTACCTATTCAGAGTTTATTAATTGTTTATCCAACTTAATTCTGTAAACTGCTGTAAATTATTGCTGTTTCTCTCAGACACACTAGCAGCAGAAAATCCGCATCAGACAACTTTGTCATCCTTTCCCCGCTTTGTTTATTTTGTAAAAAAAAGAAAAAGTCCTCCTAAAACTCGTCAATTCTCTCTAACTGGTGCTGGTAATGTTTCTGATCTTTGACCCTTTCTTGTGGTCTTACTATCGTTTCTGTCTCTCCTTCCCTTGCTCTTTAAATTTCTCCGTTGCTTTTGTCTTCTATGATAATCATATGATGTATCGATGAATTGATCTTTTTTCCTTTCCATTCTTTTCTGTTCTTATCTCTTTTCCTTCTCATCCTCTTCTCCTCCTCTTCTCTTCCTTTGTCTACCCTTCTCCCCCTTAATATACTTCCTCGCGTTTTTTTCTTTTGTTTTTCTGCCTCCTCAGAATGGATTGAAGTCTTCGTATAAATTGTGTACTCCTCTTCTCCCCATCTTCTCCTTCCTTCTCTTCCGTTGTCTACCCTCTCCCCCTTCCTTCTCTTCCCTTGTCCACCCTTCTCCCCCTTCGACTCCCTCGCTTCACTTAACTTGGCTTGCCTTTCCTTCTCGTATCCGCTCTCACCTTATCGTTGGACCTCTTCGTCCTTCCTATAACTTGTGTACGTCACCAAGTTCATTCAATGGTCATGATAAGCTCAGCGTCAATGAATGCCCATCACGGTGTGTTCACGATTTTCACTCCTTATTGATCATTTCGACTCTTGTCGTGTCTCTGCTGAGATGTCACTCACTTTTTTGCAACATGTCTTCTCTTATTGCAATTGGGACGTGTACCTCCTTGTTGTACGGAACTTGTACCTCCGTAGCCCCACCCATATCGCTTAACAGGCACCCCAGGGAACTAAATCTGACAGCAGAGTGCCTGTTAGCCCCACCCAAACATGGCTTAACAGGCACCCGTGGGAACTAAATCTGACAGCTAGAGTGCATGTTAGCCCCACCCACATGGCTTAACAGGCACCCCTGGGAACTAAACCTCACAGCTAGAGTGCCTTTAGCCCCACCCACATGGTTTACAGGCACCCCTTGCTAACAGGTACACCTGGGAACTACGCCTGACAGCAATCCTGCCTGATAACCGACAACAGCAGCATAGTCCGTGGGAAGACATGGTGCCATAGTCATTCCTTTTTTTTTTTTTTATTATCAAGAAAAGCTCCATCTATTGGTGGGGAGCATCACCTGCTGGAAACCGGGTCCAGCGTCCCTTGATTGTACACTTTGAATATGATGGATATAAAGGAAACAAGAGGATCATGAGGATACACAAAAACCTGGAATTGAAGGAAACTGTCCACACTTCTCCTACCCACACCCTTCTCCTGCGAACAGAATCTGAAAAAGTAGCTCTACCTCTTCATCCATTGCTAGGACATCAGATAAACCTGTTTAAACTAGCAGTGTTACTCTATAATCCATACCAGGAGCTTGGAACCAGGGCTGTTGCTGGGGGAGGGAAGGGGGCCGGGAAGTCAGACAGAGGGCGCATGGGAACTGACGCATCAATGGAAGTCCAATCCTCAAAAACCTGTTTGTAGTCTCTTTTTAATCCAGCATCATCTTCATTCTCAGCCCCATTCCAAGTGACATAACCAATTCTCCGTCTCTGGTTTCCGCCCAACCGTTTACAACTGAATTTACGAAAATGTGTTTGTATTTCTGTTTTATCTGAGAGAAATTGCACATTTTCCTTTGTTCGTTCCCATTTGGATAAGATATCCATTTGAACTTGTTGTTTAATTGTTTCTGTGAATTCAGGGCCATCTAGCCTAACCCCCTCCCATTCATACGTACATCTCCTCACCCATATAGCCCATATCACCACTCTTCTTCCCATACGGAACAAATTTTCCACAAAGTCCTCATCATCTCCCACTGATTCTGGGTCTGGACTCCAGGTTTCCAGATGGATAACTTTCCAACCCCATGGCCAAGGAACCTGCGGGACTAACTGTGACCAGATTCGATCCCACCACCTCCAAAGCCATACTGAACCCGGAAATTGCATAAAAATGTGCTCTATGGTTTCAGCATAGATTCTGCTTGGGAAAGTTGTTTTGCATAACTTACACCATCTTTCTGCTAGTCCTTTTTGTTCCAGCGAAGATCTGTCAATCAGCCAATCATTTACTGGTAGGCACCTATGCTCAATTTGCCATTGGAGAGAAGCTATTTTGGCAGATTTATCCTTGACTGATTTAAACCACCTGACGGACCTTAATTCCTCCCTACTGATATTTAGATGTTCCATCCATCTGGTGCAGACCTTGTCTTTAAGGTTGATTTTAGGGCGAAGCATTAGATATGTTGATTTAACTTTGAGTGAGTGCATAGCCATTTTGAATGATTTGTTATGCCTTCATGTTCTTATAACCGAATTCCACACCCAGTTAACCGGGTCAAGAGGAAGTTCCGAAATAGGGCAGTCTGGTTTAAAGGCTACCCAAGAGTCATTATTTCTAATTGCCCTGATTCTGAAAATTTGTTGTGCCTGAACCCAACAGGTTTCCTCTTGCTCCTTAGGGGTTATTACATTTGTAAATGACAAAGAGAAATTTTGCAAAAAAAAACTCCCATTTTGATCTTGATCCAGAATTAAGCCAATAGACTCAGACTGATTCTTGAAGGCTACCCAGTCATTTGTCATTAATTTAGGGTCTTTCCTAAGAATTCGAAACCTTTCAAGAGGGACGAGTTCAATAACCTTATCAAGTGCTTCCAAAGAATGATGACAATACCTTAGCCTTGTCCTCAGTTTGGATGGGTCAATCCAGTCATTGGTATCTATGTCCCATATATCCTTAACCCTCATAATACCATTTCTAATCCAGCCCTTCCAAGGCGAATGCATACAATGAAGAACACATCCTTGGGAATCACGAATCCATCTGTTATCAAAAAGAGGTTGTTGACACACCTCCTCCCACCTTTCTGGCGATAGCTTGTCCGTTAGGGGAAGCTGTCTCCAAGTTTTCAACATGGAGACCAAAAAAGGATCATTTTTTGAATCAAGTCTGACAGCCTGTCTACTTGAAGTCACTGATGTTGTTAGTGCCATAGTCATTCCAATACTCGGGGACCCCAGTGTTCTCTCCGGGGTTGATGAACCAAATGCTGGTCCAAGGGTGTGGAGCTGGGGGAGAGGTGAGAGGGGAAGCATTCCATCGCTCACGTCTAGAGTGCATCCCACCATTCCATCCGTCTTTCCTAATAACCGAAGAAGTGCTCCATCTTTCCGTGAGCTTGGGGAAATTCAAACTGTTCTGGCCATTCTCAAGAACGTCCCGTGAGTTGGGGGAAAGCTGTTCCTGGCAGCCCCCTGCAAGACAGGGGTAGGACTCTGAGTGCATGCTCTTACCATCACTGCTATCTGTTGACACGGGCAGAATTTTTTCTAATAAAAAAAAAAACAAAAGGTGGCCCTGCTGACGGGCGAGTCATGTGTTGGCATGCATAGGTAATGCGACTCCCTGCTGCACATGTAACACTGGACGACCACATCCACAGGCAAGGGAAAGGTGGACTCTCGTGGCATTCGGAGTGATCCTGTCTGAAAAACATGTCGTGTGAACATATTTCATGTAAAGAAGAGATACATAATGTGAGCCTTTTATCATCGCTTATCTGAGCCTTTTATCATCGCTCCTTGCAAATTTTTGGTGGGTGTTTATTAAAAAACGAAAAACACATCATGTGAGGCTTTACTCTCGTGGAGGACATAATGTGCGAAAAGAAAGAAATCGGCCTTCTGCCCCGTCCACTCATCCGGATGAAGACAGTAGACCCAACTGTGGTATCAGGTAGAGAGACTATGAAACCTGATGGCCACTGCGCTGCCTTTTTTTTTTTTTTTTTTTGGAAAAAGTCCAGGGTGGTGTAGAGGTCGGTTTCTGGACCCACGACAGATACCTATCTACAGTTCGTACATAATTCAATAGAACTACCATTTCATGCTCTCATCAGCAATTTTTTTTATTTTTATTTTTTATTTTTTTTTTTAACGGGCCCAGTGCCGAAGGCTGATATTGATATTTGAGAAAATTGAGGCCGGGGTTCTCACAGTCTAACCCGGAGTAACCGGACAGATTATGCTGAGAACCGGGCCCAGCGTCCCTCAGATGATGATGATGATGATGAGGATGATGAGGATGATGAGGATGACGATACATCGGCCTGAGCTATTTCCCCATGATTGATTGATTGCATGTTTTTTTTTTGTTTTTTTTTTTCCATTTCCAATCTTTTGAATATTGGATGGATAATGTTTCTATCATTGTTGGATCCATACAATCAAATGTGACCAGTAGTGTTTTGACTGTAGTACATTCCGCTAGTTGTCTGCGCGCGCACACACACACACACACACACACACACACACACACACACACACCGTAGGCAGAGAGGGAGAGAGGGAGAAGACGATAACAAACGAGGGGCTGTGACGAACTGTTTCGTCGGAGTTTCACCAACTCATCAGGAGGCTGAACCCTCAACTGTCTTCAGAATCCGCTGACTGATTACACTGTAAGTGATGTGGTTAAGCATCAACGACCGCCGGACAACTGATACCCTGAGGTGGGCACCAACCACTGCCCTCAACGTACCCGTGACGAAAATCAAAGCACACTATCACTCACCCACACCAGGTGGAAAACTCTACAGACTGTCGGTTCACACCCCATCACAAGCCAGCAAAACACCCACGAAACAAGGAAGGTCTGTCACAGCCAAAAAATACACTCTAGACACTCCGCTGGCACCAGAGGCACTGCATGGCCACGTAGTGACGGCCCCGACCACTGCCGCTCGACCTGACCGGAGAAAACCGTAGCAGGGTGATAGCGAAGTCGTGGCATATATCATCAAACAGAGCTGCCCGGTAAACCGTAGGCAGAGAGGGAGAAGAAGACGACAAACGAGGGGCTGTGATAAACTGTTTCGTTGAAGTTTCACCAACTCCTCAGGAGGCTGAACACTCAACAGTGTATATATATATATAACCGACAGTCTGTAGAGTTTTCCATCCGGTGTGAGTGAGTGAGTGATAGTCTGCTTTGATTTTCGTCACAGGTAGTTTGAGCCTTTTGAGGGCAGTGGTAGGTGCCACCTCAAGGTATCAGTTGTCAGGCAGTCGTTGATGCTTAACCACAATAGGGGTTAAGGTGGATTATCACTTACAATGTAATCAGTTA